GTACTGCTATGGAAGAAGAGATGGCAGCCCTTCATTGTGCTGGCACATGGACCTTAGTAGATTTGCCAGCAGGAAAGAAAGCTATTGGGTGTAAATGGGTGTTGACCCCTAAAGTTAAGGCGGATGGTACACTTGAACGCCTCAGGCTCGCCTTGTCGCAAAAGGCTATGCTCAAAAGTATGGCATTGACTACTCTGAGACTTTTTCCCCCGTGGCCAAGCTCTCTTCTGTTCGTCTATTCATCTCCATGGCTGCTACCTATAGTTGGGATCTCCATCAATTAGATATCAAAAATGCATTCTTGAATGGTGATCTCCTTGAAGAAGTGTACATGGAGCAACCACCAAGTTTTGTTGCTCAGGGGGAGCGTGGGAAGGTGTGTCGCCTTAAGAAATCACTCTATGGCTTAAAGCAAAGTCCTCGTGCATGGTTTGACAGATTTAGTACTGTTGTGAAGAACTTTGGCCTGCACCAGAGTAAGTGTGATCATTCTGTGTTCTATCAACGAACAAGTGCTGGCATGATCCTACTAGTTGTGTATGTCGATGACATTGTGATTACAGGAAACAATGCCTCGGGGATCTCATCTCTCAAGTCATTCCTTAACTCACATTTCCAAATGAAGGATCTGGGTTCATTGAAGTATTTTTTGGGAATTGAAGTCATGAGAAGCAAGAAAGGCATCTTATTGACTCAGAGAAAGTATGTTCTTGATCTGCTAAAAGAAACTGGGAAACTAGGGGCTGCCCCGACCAGCTTCCCTATGGTCTATAATCCTCTGCTTGATGCTGATGGTAGTATACCATGGGAAAATCTTGATGAGGCTGCTAAGAGCAAGCCATTTGAAAATCCAGAGAGGTATAGGAGACTGATTGGGAAGTTAAATTACCTTACAGTGACCCGTCCTGATATCACCTATCCAGTAAGTGTCCTTAGCCAATTTATGGTTGCGCCAACTGTCCGACAATGGGAAGCCTTAGAGCATGTGTTACACTACCTGAAGGGATCCCCGGGTCGTGGGATATTGTACAAGAATCATGGTCACACAGACATTGAGTGTTTTTGTGATGCTGATCATGGCGGGTCGAAAGCCACGAGACGATCTACTACGGGATACTGTGTTTTTGTAGGAGGCAATTTGGTGTCCTGGAAAAGCAAGAAACAGAATGTGGTGTCACGATCGAGTGCAGAAGCGGAATACAGAGCCATGACGCAATCTGTATGTGAGATAGTTTGGATATACCAGCTACTAAAAGAGGTTGGTCTTAAAACCTCGTTACCAGCAAAGTTGTGGTGTGATAATAAAGCAGCCCTACACATAGCTTTGAATTCGATCTTTCATGAATGAACGAAACATATTGAGATTGACTGTCATTTCGTCCGAGACAAGCTCAAGGAAAACTTCATCTCTATAGGACATGTCAAATCCAGCGATCAGTTGGGTGATCTTCTCACCAAAGCTCTCAATGGGGTTTGAGTTGAATATCTTTGTAACAAGTTGGGCATGATTGACATCTATGCTCCAACTTGAGGGGGAGTGTAGAGATATTATAGGAGATATTATAAGATATGTAAATATCCTATAATTAGTATATAGGATATGATATGATATGATTTCATATTAATGAGCCATTAATACCTAGGCTCCTCTATTGTATATAAATACCCAATCGAAGTATCAATAATATACAATTTTCATTCTCTAAATTACACTATACACTTCAACATAATCTTCCATCTCTTTCCACAAGTTGTTCACAATGTATGTGGCCCAATCAAATCGATGAAATCCATTCATAGTACAATACATCACCCTTACTAGCTTGTCATTCACTGTTGTTTGTGAGGTAGGAGCTAGAAAACTCCCAAGTGTGTACAGCATGAACAAGAACTCAAAATTCTCTTCATTCTCCCCAGATTTAATGTCTTTGAGTATCTTGGTAAAAGAGACTTTACCATATTCATTCTTCAACCTCTTATATGTTTTATCATCATCATCCAAATCCGTTCTTACCTTTTCCCCTGTGTGGGGTACATCCAACAACTCCGCAACATCTTCTGCATCAATTTCCTTGATCTTCCCCCTTATTGTAAATTGATGGGTAGGCGGATCATATGCTCGAAGCATGTGTACTATGAGGTCACGAGGGAGTCTCTCACATCCCATGTCAAGCAAACTTGCGAATCCCAAACTTTGCACCTTGGCTTTCAATCTGTCATTGCTATTTATAAATTCTACCAATGACTTGTATTGCTGAACTGAGCAATGGGTGCTAAAACTAACTTTTTTCATCCGCTTCTTCTTCATCCCTTGCTTCTTTGGTTTGTTCACTTTATCATTATACTTCTTCCTCTCCTTCGGTAGCAGCTCCCTCCATGCCTTTGTTGCCTCCCTAACTTCTTCTCTCCTATTCCTAAACTCTTCGCCCGCCTTAAATTCATGGAGAAACAACATGTAACCATTCTTCACTTGTCCACTTCCCTCTCCTTCTCCTTCTACTTGTACTTGTAATTCTATTTTCCCTGCTGCAATGACACCACTTGTTAGTCATTCATAATAATATATTTCTTTCACAACAATGTCGTCAATTCCATTAACAAATGTAGTTAATTACACTAACAAATATAGTAAATTTTATTAACATATCACCAAAATACTATTGTCTAATCAATTAAGAAGTGTAGTCAAGTCCACTAACAAATGTAGTAAATTTTATTAACATATCATCTACAAAACCATTGCATAGTCAAATGAATTTGTATCATGACAATGTTGTTATTCCCATAACAAATCTGGTCACTTTCATTGACTAATGTAGTAAATTCCACTAATAAATGTAGTAAATTTCATTAACATATCACCTCATAACTATTGTCCAATCAATTACCAAATGTAGTAAATTCTACTAACAAATGAAGTAAATTTCATTAATATATCACCTCAATATCATTGCCCACTCAATTGAATTTGCATCACAACATGTTGTCATTCCCATACCAAATCTATTCTTTTGCATTGGCAAATGTAGTCAGTTACTCTAATTAATGTTGTAAATTTCATTAACATATCAGTTAACAAATGTAGTCATTGCCAACACAAATTTAGTTGTTCTTCGACCAATAGTTGTTATTTCAATACGAAACCAACTAGTACTATTCATTACTTACCTCATCAAATTTACTACTCAGCTTATAGAATTACTGCTTTCTAAATTACTACAACAGGATAACCTTTGCAAATTTTACCCACGCAAGGACAAACTTTTCAGCCTAAACCATTCAATGAAAATGAAAGTAACTTTATCATTGCCGCGCATGCAGACAAAATTTTACTAAATTCAACTTCCTTAAAATCTCATCTTCTCCACATAGAAAGCTATACTCTTTTTAGTAAAGTCAAATAACACCAACAAAACTATCCTTTCCATTTTGTTCTTTTCCTTCAAATCAAAATAAAACAATCACTACAACAAAAGCAATCCTCTGTTCCAATTAAAGGCCACCCAAAATGGATTAAACACTATCAATCACAATCATTTCCAAATGTGTACACAGCCAAACACATGAGCAATAACATGGAAACAACTTTTTTCGTCCTACAGCAACTTCTATGGGAACAACAAAGACAGAACCACAAAGAGCATCACTGCATAATTACATTTTAAGCTTCAGGGACCCATCAAAAATGCTCTATGAACAACAATATTCAAGTTCCCTACCTGTTTAGTTTTGAAAGCGACAGCGGCAATGTGATTTCGGAGAACCCTTTTTGGTTACTAGAGGAGCTTGGATTTGGTTTCGCCGAGTGGGGGCACTTTTTGTTTCGGCAGGTTGCTCTCGTCGGGTCGGTGGGTTGCTTTCGCCGACTGGAGGAGGTAGTTCCAGTTCCTGTTTCACTTAGTGGGGGGTTGCTTTCGCCGAGTGGGGGGTTTTTTTCGCTAAGTGGAAGCAGTTCCTGTTTCGTCAACTGGGGGTCTTGTTTTCGCTGAGTAGAGCCAGTTTCCGCCTTTTCTCCATCTCCTCAGGTTTCAAACATAATAAGGGTATTTCGGTCTTTTGGCCAAAAATCTATATTCCAAATTGGTACCTAATGCCCTATTTGTCATTTTACTTATTCAGGTGCCTTATTTGTCTTTTTGAAATTCAAGTAGTATTTTCTTGTCATTTTCCCTAAAATCTTATACAATATGAATCAAATTTTATTGATATAACATCCAATTAATTTTTTTATAGATACAATTCATGTTATCAAACATAATAAAACTGTAATAAAATTAAATTGATGAGTCCCTACATCTAAAATACACATTCAAAGGATAATTATAGAAATCAAATTGAAAATTATATAAATTATAATTATTTAGTAATAACATTATAAAATATACATTTAGAATTAAAAAATTGACTGAATTCACTATGCGCCTTGTACATTGTACTGAGCTTGAGACATTAATCCTATCATTTGTTGATTAAAATTACTACGCTACTCGCACATTACACCAAATTTGAAAGTTTAATTATAACTGGGATAAGTTTGAATAATTTTATGGTTGAGGTCAGAGAGTTCAACTGTTGCATTAATCCGTTTGGGGCTTTGGGCTAAGACTTGGACTGGCCTTTTTTTGGGCGAAACGAAAACAGAGCAACAAACTGCCAGTTTAAAAAACGGACAAAGCTAGTCCAACCAACAAAAAACCTGCCCACAACATGAGCAAGACGACAAGACTAAGCCCAGACAATAAGAACAAAAAGCAAAAAGCACTAAACAGCATCATTCAAGCAGCTCCACATTAGCCACTAGGGAAAATTTATGCAGAGAAGGGGGCTTAAGCACCCATTCAAATGTGCGTGTCCATGCATAAGCTGCGTAAGAGACCAATCCAACAGCTGAATGAGAAACTCTTGGGATCCAATTGTGCTTTCGAAGCTCACATTTTGTCGTTGCTCTCTTCTGATCATCCACAGGATACAGTCACACAGTTCCCTAGTCCCTTTGTTCCTTTAACGAAGCTAAAACTTCAAAATCATCAAAGTTGACAAATTTATATTCTCAGTATGCTAAAGAAATCGGATAATTTACAACTTCAAAGCCGCAAAACAGTTTCTTGCTGAAAACCTGAGAGATCTCTTCATTGACAGTTATTTACAGTTTAGCTCTTTTTAAGTGACCATACAGAACAATCCTAAATAATGTTCATCAACTCTGCACTGCAAGGACCTGCAAGTGGTCTAGAAAAACTTGCAAGCTCAAGTCATCCGTAAAGATTATATCTGACCCTTCAGTGTATGTTGACTCTTGAGTTACAGATGGATTCAACTTGGCGAGAAGAAACCTAGCCTGACTACCATGCTGATCACATTTTATAAGCTTTGGCACTGGCACCCGATCAACCACCAGTTGCTCAGCGTCTAGTTCTACAGCTTCAAGCAGCTTTCTAAAGTTTTCATGATTTGGGTCCTTGTTATAACCAAGTTTCCTCCATTGAGCAATCTTGGATCCATAATGAATCACAACATGGAAGTAAGAATCAAAGAGCAAGATGACATCAGGATAAATGGAGCGAACATCAAGAAGTACTGGTACTGGGGGGCCATCAAGTGAATACTGGAAAAGTGTAGGTTGGATCATTATAAGAGAGCCCACTACTCCCTCACGGTTTAGCATAAGCCGGAAAAATGCAGTTTCATCAGGAGTAGTGTTGAAGACATCAATAAATTGGGATCGTCTCAAATGGAACATGAATTGGGGAAACAGTGAAAAGTTGGAAGATAGGCGGAAGGAAGAAGGATCTTCTGGAACGTAGTCCCCAAACTTAGAAGCAAAACGGATAAGCGAGTCATCCAGCCATCTAATGACATCACGGGCATAGCATGTCTGAGCCCGGAGAATGGCAAGTCTTGCCATTACGGAGGCAGCTGCTTCTTGATCAAACCCAGCAGTCACATCTGTGGATTGGTTCCCCTCCCATCGTCTTGCAGCAGTTGTCACTCGTTTCCTAAATCCCATGTTCCCCTGTCTGTACCTTGTTATAAACTGAATGAAAAATGCAGATCCCGGCTGAGCTTTCTGGTCATCACTCACTTGGAAGAAAAAAGTAATGCAAGTTTTGTCAGTGAGTGTATTTAACTTCCACATATAGGTTCCACCTTCTCCAACTTCAGCTTCACTAACTAAATTGTTTCTTTTCCTAAGGGACACACAAGGACCAAGAGCTCCGCAGATTTTCACATCTTTGGTGGTAACTAGTTCAATAGTTGCATCAAAATTCATCTTCAAATAGCCTTCATCATCGCGTTTAAAGATGTGCCTCAGACATTTCTTGAATTGGTCTGATTCAAATGACTCGGCAAGCACCATAAATCCGCCTGAAAGTTCAACAGGTTCTCTCAATTCAGCTGCTCCAACTTGATCAAGGGAACAAGCAAACAGATCAAGCACAACAGATGCATCGGAGAGCCTCCTCGACACTCGCTTGTAGAAACTGCAAGATTTTCCATGGTGCGGTGCTCGGCCATTGATGATGTCCTGGTGGGTTCTGATGGCATGTCCAAAATCAGAATCAACAACCAGTCCTGGTCCTGTGGTTGCTGGACCTGATGTGAAGACCATGATCCTTGATCCTGTATTTATCAGGCAACACTCTAAGAGCGCAAGTGCAACTGATATGGCTGCCCCTGTGGACCTTGGAGGGCGGCTGCGTGAAACAAGATTCCTTGTAGAGTGGATCTCCTCAACTGCATTAGTCATGTTAAACTCACAATCTGAAATTGGCAATATATATCCCTGCTTAGGGATGACTGGTATTTTTCCAAGTTGCATTTTTGAGTTGTGGCGAATATTGAGAAATTGCATGGCCTGAGTACAAAGAGAACAAGCCGAAAATAGCAATAAATCAACTTTGTCTGTTCTTCAACCACACAAATTCATCTCTACAGTTTAGCAAGAAGTAAATGGGACATGACAGATAGTTTAGGACATGAAATATGGATACACAGGCATAGTTTGGGTCGTATGTTGGAATGGGGTACCGGCAATTGTCTCCTATGTAATCGCCACGGGAACAAAAAGGGAAATATTTGAACTTGTGGAAATAATCATCAGTAGACTTGTATGAATAACAAAAGCGACTAAAAAGGTTTTGGCATGATTCTATGAATCTTAAATTTATTATATTAACAAGGGTACTAAGACTTCCAACTTAATCAGGCCACCAGTCGTACATGGGAACCATTAACATTTCTAGTTTAAATTATGCAGCCCATAACCTGAAAAGCATTAAACTAGGAACAAAGGAGTTCAAAATCACAAATGAGGCTTATCTAGATTATATAACAATGGAAAACGAACTGAGTTGAGTACCTGATTTGATGAAACTTCACGACCCCCGTGAAACAATACCATTCTTGAACACTCTGAATATCCCAAATCATAAAGATAGACCATTGAATCAAATGTAATCAATCCGACCAAAGCATTCTCAGGCAACTGCTCAAGAACCAGCAATAGCTCATTCTTCAGCGGCTGAAGCTCCTCCTCAGAAGAACTGATATCCACAACAAACACAAATGCTGGTCCAATCCCACGCGAATCACCACCACCAGGAACCGAAGCAGAAGAGAAAGAAGAGGCCAGCGATGAAGAAGAAACTACAGACGATAAAGATTTGGAAGAAGAAGACAACCCATTGCCCCAAGTACGGTTTAAGTTGACACTGGATCCATTATTCGCTTTCGGGCTCATAATTTTCTTGCCGGGTGCATACTCAACAGTGCTATAGGTAGGAAATAGTTCAGCAGGAAGATTGGTCTCACCGATACCCGAGTACGAACGAGGAAAGGGATTCCTATGGAAACAGAAAGGGCAGTGCCAAATCCGAGATTGGTAATCGACACGAGCATAAGGATTCAAAACGGCGTTGCATCGAGTACAAACGAGAGGATCGTAGGGAAGCACAGGAAGCTCAGTGGCCTGCATCAATGGCGTGCACATGATGCTGAGAGGGATGATCAGAGCAGTGGCTTCCGATTTGGAAGCAGGCCAGGTGTTCCATGACCATCGGAGACCTTCGACAGCCTCCAACTCGAGAAAATCCATAGTTTTGAGATGAAGGAAACTTGTTCAGAGGGGTTCCACGATTTAGATGGAGAGAAAAAAGGGCGGATCAAATCGAATCGAAGTGAGAGGGAAGGGCTTTGGGGGGTGAGAAAGCGAAGGGAATCGAACATAGCTTGCGAGAGAAGGCGAGCGTTATGGAGAAGGATCTCTCCTTGTGCATTGAGTTTGAGAGAGCGCAGAGAGATGGGGTGAGGGACTTCTATAATTAGCCGGCCATAAGCCCCCAAGTAATTCGCCAAAGCCGTCTTACTCAGCCTCACTTCATGGCTTCCAAACCGCAGTGAATAATCATCTAGATGCTTCTCTCAATCAATAAATCAATATTGAACAATTAATAATTAATTTATAAGGATAGTGAACTTATTTTTTTTAAAAGAAAACTCCTTTCATCAAACCTTAATTCTCTAGCCAATAAATATAACATAACTAACACCATTAAAAGATTTAAACAAACTCCAAAACCAGCTTTGATTCAAAATCTCGAAATAAATAATCTTAAAATTCAACTAAAAACCCTTAAGTGCCAGCAAGGAAAACAAGGTCATTTAATAATTAATAATAATTAAATCAATGCATACCATAATCCTATTTGTTCTAATTTTTAATTAATTAAGTTAATTAAAAGTCATCATTGCTTAAGCATACGCTAATAGTAATTTTTGTTTTTAAGCTTATCACTTTTTTTTGCATGTGTTTTTACGTTTATAACTATTTATTATTGTTGGTTAGAAAATGTCTATATATGCCATAAATAAGAACAAAACTGCAAAATAATAGAGAGAAATAATATAAAGAATATAAACAATACAACAAGATAGAAAGTTAGAAGGAAAGAATAGGAGAATAAGTAAAGCTTTTTTTTTTAATGAGAAATATCAATGAAAAGTCTCTACTTAAAAATTTTAGTGCTTATAAGAAGTTAATATTTTTTATACCAAAAGAAAAACCTGATACCTTGCAAAGTTTCATACAAAGAGAGTACCTGTAATTGAATTCAAATTCATTTGACCAATCAATTTTTTTTGGCCAAAAAACAAGTCAATTTTATTAATCATCAAAAAAATTAATTACACACACTAATAGCTGAAGCCAAAAGAAACACTAAAAAAAAAATAAAAAATCTAAGCATACAACCTAGCACACAAAAAATTTGCCAAAGCAAACAAACCGAAAGAAAGCAATAAGTAAACCAGTTCCAAAGCAACAGTCAAATAGCATCGAGAAAAAAACTAAGCCACAGCAAAGCAGAAACAAACAAGTATTAACTCACCCCCTCTCTACTCCACAAATCCAAAGCAGAGGGGTTTACAACAGGTCCAGTTGCATCTTTTGCTTTCTGTCTCTTGCAAGAGCCGCGATGCTACAACCAGCCATCTATTGGGCTCCATCTCTCTACTATGTGCAACTACAAGCAAATTAGCGGCACTATTACCTTGGCGAGCTACCAAGGAAAAAACCAAACATCGCCTACTTTCAGCTAGATGAAAAATATCAAATACAACAAGAACACGTTGACATTCAACCTTACAAGTTTAGTTAGAATAACCCTGTAGAGTTCCTCACAATCAACTTCAATACAAATCTTCTTTCCTTCAAATTTGTCACTTGACAGCAAGGCTTCTCTCAAAGTTAAGCAGTCGGCCTAAAAAGCAGAACAAGCTTTAACCTTCTTTTGCAATCCTCCCAGAAAGGTTCCATAGTCATCTCTAAAAACCACTACAATACCAGCATTACCAGATTGCTTCACAAAATCCCCATCAGCATTAATCACAGTATATGCATTGATTAGGAGCAACCAAAGCGACATTCATTACAAAGCCATCTCTTTACCTCCTAATTTTTCCGCTATTAGAACATGTTTTTGCCCTCTAAACCTCACGAACCAGTATGGAAGCTGTTGTGATAACCTTTACAGGGTCTACTCTTATTGTATTAAAAAACTAGTCACATCTTTCCTTCTAAATTTGCCAACAAATAGTCATAGCAAGAGCTTTACCCTCTCTATTGATTACCTTGCTGTCAAGGAAGATACATTCACACCAATTTCTAATATTGATAGCTTGATCTCTGTTATTCTGTAAAGTGAAGGAGCAGCCAAACCAACATCTACAAGCCCAAGGACACAAAAGGATCATATGCTCAATTGTTTAACCTCATTACCACAGATTGAGTAAATGTCATATTGAGCATATTTTCTTCTTTTTGACACTTCCTTAGTGGCAAGAGTTCCATTAAGCATTCTCTGGAAAAAAGCTTGATTTTTGGAGGTATACTCAGATTCCACACAACTTGCCAAAGCTTCTTAGGAATCTGACGTGAAGCATTAGGTCTTAGCTGTAGTTTTGGCCTCTTCTTCTTCCTTAGCAACATGATAACCATATTTAGCTATATATTTTCCATCCTCACAAAAAAAACCACACAACTTCATATTTCTTACCTCCACGGGGGATATCAATTTGCAAAATCAAATCCCTCATGGAATTTGCTATCTTGCCATTTAAAGATCCAAAATCCCATCTTCCATTCCTAATCAGTATATCAACTTGGAACTTTCTCTCTTGCACATTAATGAGAGAATTATCCAATCTTTCTTCAGGCAAAGCTAGGATCCATCTACCAGTCCAGATTTTGACATCACAGTCATTCCCTACCTTCTAAAACAGACCCTTATTTAATAAATCTCTACCTTCAAGATTGCTGACCCAACACCACGACGCTTTCCCCCCTTCTTCGCTTCCATAAAGCTATTGTTTGGAAAGTAGATACCTTTTAGAATCCTACACCAATGTTCATTAGGATTCTACAACATTCTCTAAGCAGTTTTTGCAAGTAAGCTTTATTAAAAGGTTGGAAGCTCCCGAACCCCATTCCACTAGTATTCTTAGCAGTAGACATCTTCTCCCAGCTTTTCCAATGAATTCTCTTACCTTCATTTTCCTTTTGTCCCCACCAAAAAATCAAAGATCAAGCTATCAATTTGTTTACAACATTTCTTTGAAAACAAAAAATTAGACATTAGGTAGACTGGTAGAGTTTGTCACAGCATTTATTAAAACTTCCCTGCCCGCAAATGTCAAAAGTTTTTGCTTCCAACCTTGTAACCTCTTACAAATCTTGCTCTTCACAAAGACTAAAGCAGAAGATTTTGATCTCCCCCAGATGAGGCGCAAACCTAAATATCTACCAGGTTTAGATGGTTCTCTCACCCCCAATCAATTCTCAATTTCTTCTTTAACTTCTGCAGTAGAATTAGCCGAGAAAAAAGATACAAGATCTTTCTAAATTTGTTTCTTGACTAGAGGCTACACTAAACATATTTAAAATCCTTTTAAGAATCATACAATTCTCCCTCTCATTTCTTACAAAAAAGAGTGTTATTAGTAAAAAAAAATAAAAATAGTGAGAAAGAAGAGGTCCCCCTCTAGATAGCCTTGTGCCTTTCAAATCACCATTATTTATATGATACTGCACCATAAGAGACAGCACATCAGCAAGAATAATGAAAAGGTAAGGAGAGGGGATCACCTTGTCTTATTCCTCTTCTAGGTATGATTCTTGTAACTTTGTTTCCAGAGACTAGCAAGTCAAAATTTATAGGAGTCACACATTCCATGACCCACCTAACCCATTTAATGCAGAAACCCATTTTCAACATAACCTCTATCAAATTTTTCATTTTTTTAAACATGGCTTTAAACATATTCTTTTTTCATTTTTTTTAATATTTGGATTAATTAAATACAATTGAGATGCTCTTTATTAATAAAGATAAGTTTATATCTCTAGCTAATAAAAAAATTCTATAATTACGGGATAATTGATGATACATAAGAAAATTGTAAGATAATTAGTGATGCTAACATATGTGATTGAAGATAATCAGGATTATGGGCATCCATTAAATCCATTAATATTATAATATCCATAAGACTCTCCTTAAAAGCCCATAAAAAATATTTTGTCTTGTTAAACTGTTATTAAAAAAAACTTAATACGACTAAAATCTAGTTTGAAAAAATGCATATTTATCAATGTTTTCTCATTAAAAACCAAAACTTTGGTTTTTGTTTTGGCAAAAAGAGTATAATTCAATTTTTTTCTCTCTTTAATGAGGAGGCATGTCACTTCTTGTTCTTAATCCATTGTATTCCAAACTTGTACATCAATTTGTTGAATATTTTTGTCAATGCCTTTATGAGGTAATAGTTTTTCTTGGCTTGTCTACACATGAATGACAACTTTTATATAATTTGTTTGAACATTTCTTCTATGCATATCTTCTATATAAGAACATATTTTTCATTTGGCTTATATTTTGTAGGAGTTGTAACAAAAGTTATGAATTGATCTTCATAATATAAATGTACTTTCACATGCAGGTCAAGTTTTGTGGATCATGAACATTTGTCTCACATACACACAATGAATTGATTTTCATCCTTATTAAGCTGAATAAAGTAACCGCATACTACTTTCTACCTCCATTTTTTAATATAAGAGTTAGATAACTAATTTGAAGATATTAAAAAAATTACTTTAAGTTGATTATCTGTAACAAATGTTTGTTGACTTTCATAAACTACTCTCTTCAGTCATGTGTATTAGAACTAACCTTGGTGGGAATCCCTCACAACCAAGATACTTTAATTTCAAGAAAAAGTTATAAATTTGAAGGAAAAAAATAGATTAAGATATTATATTTAGAACCAAATTCAACTCTTAACTAACTCTTATACTTATTACTGGAGGTAGTATAATGATTCCTTAAACATATATCAAAACATAACTTCATTACAAACTAGTATAATATTAGAAATTATGCTGTAAAAGCATTCACACACATATACATATATGTGTGTCTGTGTGTGGTACTTCAGGACCATCCTTCTTACTCCCTCAAAGAAAAATGATCTTAATTTACATATAATCATCTTACATCTTTACATCTGTCTTTAACAATCAAATGCTTCGTATATACT